TAATTCACCTTGCTTTTTCTTTATATCATCAGGTTATGTGGGAAATAGGGAAAACGTTTCTTCTATAATGTATATCATCTTTCATGGGAAAATAGAACGCTTGGTGGGTACGATTTTTGATGTATAAATAAACGAAGAAACTGCAATAGTTTTATTCTTGGTTTCATCCATATTATAGATCACTTCAAGTGAATTACGGTAAGATACACGCGATGATGTTTTGATTTCGATAGCTTTTGTCTAATAAGAAAAGAATCTCATTTCGAAGTACGTATGATTTCCTAAGGGAAAAATTGAGATAAATATGGATCGTTAGCTTTTCTGAAGAAAATATCAAAACATTTCTGCTTAGCTAGAGTACATCTTTTCATGGAATATAATCCTGAAATTAAAATTTTTTCACATGCTTTCTATTATAAAAGTATTACACTGAAAAGAAATAATGGTCACAGTACCGAACCAAAGAGAATTTCGTGCACTAAAAATGGTTTCGTAGGAAATTGTTGAAACCTTGAACATTTTTTTCTAGGCACTTGAAAATTTTTTGAAAGGGCTTATATATTGATAGGAGACCTTCACAAAGTTGTCTAGACCATTAATAAATCTTTGTTTGTAAGGGGTTATGAATTCAAACAAAACATTCGGAAGGATTTCGAGTTCATTGCAAAAATGGTTCGATAATGTGAGCAGTTTTTTTCAGTGTAGAGTCCGAGTCAAAAATGTACATATGAATGCAATCGACCATATTCATTGGGCACACTTTACTACTGTAAGGGATTAAGTTCTACATTAAAATATGACTCCTAGTCAGTGATATAATTTATACCTTTTATTTTACAATAAATATCAAAGATCATAGTTATGTAATTGCGTTTTACATTCACACTCAAAAACAAAATTAAATCAAGGATAACTCAATCAGTAAGACTTAATTTAATTCATAAAACGATGGCAGATCACATAATTGTTAACAAGGAATTTATTACTACATATTTTGAATAATAGACTTTTATAGTTGATTAGTAAACAATTTACTAATTCATTTTTTTATGTATACTTCTAGATATCAAAAGTTCAACGTACGTCATTCAAACGCAATAAAAGAATGAAAATTAGTATTATTTTAATTATATGCTTGCTGTTTATAGTAATACAAATGGCACAATGTGTAAATGCTCTTGAGCCAATTAAAGATCAGGCTATTGATGAAACATATTTAATGTTAAGATCAGAAACAATTATGGATCCAACGCAAAATAATGGAACAAAACTTGTAAGACACAAACGACATACATGTTGTAACGTATTTCACTGGAAATGCTGCTGTAAAAGGGATGGTCGTGAATGTGTTAACGGTGGCGTGGGTACCGAATGGTTTGGCGGAAAACAATGTCCTTATTATTCGGGTTCCTGGGATTGTGGGGGATGTCATATTGGATGGAAATGTTAAAGACTATTCTGGTACAATAAGAGCGAAGGCTATGATTTCTTAAAACTCTTGTTATATCTTATTCTCTCGCCATAATAAAGAACTATTTGAAGAAAAATGTCTTGTATTCTTTTTTCTTTCAGAAAAAGGTCTTATAGCCGTTCTATGTGGTAACCATACATTTCCCCCTTTTTTTGTCCCTTACTATTCGTCCTTTTTTAATTGGTCCTAAATGATCTTTGTCCGATTTCATTTCTTCTCTTTACAATTCGTCCTAAGTATCGCTTGTCCTATTACATTTCATCCTGTTACATCTGGTTCGAAAAACTAAGTGTTTATTTTTGTCTTAATTATATGTAATAAAATTTATTTAAAATCACTCAAACTCGTATTTTCAAGTTCATTGCAATTCAGTTTAGATAATCATCAATATTACACGATAGCGTGACTGTTTTTAAACGTGCATCAATATCTGCATATAGTTTTCTCTTTTTCTATGGAGGTGCACCAGCACGTTGTCGTTCAATATCAAACTCGAATCGAGATTGTTCGCGTAGAATACATTTAGTAAGTTTGACAATAGAGGGATCCCATGTAAAAAAAAAGTGAAAAAAAAACACTAAAAAGTAATTCTTTAAATAATAAAGTAAAATAAATTAATATTATCAACTATTTTGCACTTTTAAAACTACTTCGGTCGACTTTTTCAACTTTTAGAATTACTTCATAGTAATTTCGTCATCACCAAATTAAAAATAATTAATTTTTCAACTAAAAAAGTACTTTTTCATACTATCGACAATACAACAAGTACTAAAAAGTACTATTCGACGGAAAAAAGTACTTTCACCTAATAATTCTCCTTTTCAGCTGAGAAATAATACTAAAATTTACTTTCAAAAGTACCTGGAAGTACTTTTTACAAATAATTCCCATTACTTATTAGTATAAGTATTCTAAAGTACTTTAGAAAGAATTAAAAAGTACTTTCTCTAAGAATTAATCGGTAATACTAGTAAAAAGTACATTAAAATACTTTGCAAAGCACTTTGTAGCACTTCATACATTACTTCTCTAAGAAATGAGGAGTGATACTAGGAAAAAACACATTTCAAAGTACTTTATAGTACATTACAAAACATTTTAAATTAATTTTCTGACAAGTGATGAGTGATAATAGGAAAAACTACTTTTCAAAGTTCTTTATAGTACTTTACGAAACAATTTAAATTAATTTTCTAACTAGTGATGAGTGATAGTCGGAAAAAGTACTTTTTAAAGTACACAATAGTACTTTAGAAAGTATTTTAAATTACTTTTCTAAGCTCTGATCATTGATAGTAGGAAAAAGTACTTTTGGAAGTACTTTTTATTACTTCACGAAACACTTTCAATTACTTTTCTAGGAAATGGTGAGTGATGATCTGGAAAAGTACTATTAAAAGTACTTTATAGCATTTCAGAAAAATATTTTAAATTACTTTTCTAAGAAATAGTGAGGGATAGTGGGGAAAAATACTTTTGAAAGTACTTCATAGTACTTTACAAAGTATTTTAAACTACTTTTGAAAGTACTTCATAGTACTTTACAAAGTATTTTAAACTACTTTTGAAAGTACTTCATAGTACTTTACAAAGTATTTTAAACTACTTTTCTAAGAGGTGAAGAGTAATAGTAGGAAGAAGTATTTTTAAAAGTACTTTATAGTGCGTTACGAAATACTTTATATTACTTTTCTAACAAATGAGGAGCGATAGAAGGAAAAAGTACTTTTCAAAGTACTATTTGGTATTTTGAAAAATTTTTTAAATTACTTTTCTAGGGAATGGTGAGTGATAGTGGGGAACAGTACTATTGAAATTAGTTTATAGTGCTTAAAAAAATATTTTCAGTTACTTTTCGAAGAGGTCATGAGTAATCGTAGGAAACAGTACTTTTAAAAGTACTTCGTAGTGCTTTTTAAAATTTTTTAAATTACTTTTCTAAGAAATGGTGAGTAATAGTGGGAAAAAATACTATTGAAAATACTTTATAGTACTTTACAAAAGATTTTAAATTACTTTTTTAAGATGTGATGAGTGTTAGTAGGAAAAGGTACTTGGAAAAGTACTTTATAGTGCTTTACGAAATACTTGAAATTACTTTTCTAAGAAAGGAAGAATGAGAGTAGGAAAAAGCACTTTTCAAAGCGCTTTATAGTACTTAACGAAATACTTTAAAGTACTATTCGAAGAAGTGATGAGTAGTAATCGGAAAAAGTACTTTTGACAGTACTTTATAGCACTGTACAAATTATTTTAAATTAGTTTTCTTGAAAGTGAGGAGTGATAGTACGAAAAAGTAATTTTGAAAGTACTTTATAGTACTGGACAAAATACTTCAAATTAGCTTTCTAGGAGATGGTGAGTGATGGTCTTGAAGAGTACTTTTCAAAGTACTTTATGGTACTTTTCAAAGTACTTTATGGTACTTTACAAAACATTTTAAATTACTTTTCTATGAAATGGTGAGTGATAGTGGTGAAATGTACTATTGAAATTACTTTATAGTACTTTAGAAAAATATTTTAAATTGCTTTTCTAAGATGTGAGGAGGGATAGTACGAAAAAGTACTTTTGAAAGTACTTTATAGTACTGGACAAAATACTTTTTCGTACTTTTCTAGAAAATGGTGAGTGATGATCTGGAAAAGTACTTTTGAGAGTACTTTATAGTACTTTTGAAAGTACTTTATAGTACTTTACGAAAGACTTTAAATTACTTTTCTAAGTAGTGATTAGTGATAGTCGAAAAAAGTACTTCTAAAAGTACTCTATAGTACTTTAGAAAGTATTTTCAATTACTTTTCTAGAAAATGGTGAGACATAGTGGGGGAAAAGTACTTTTGAAAGTACTTTATAATACTCTACGAAATACTTTAAATTAGTTTTCTAGGCAATGGTGAGTGATAATGGGGGAAAGTACTGTTGAGAGTACTTTATAGTACTTTACAAAAAATTTTAAATTACTTTTCTAAGAAGTAATGGGGGATAGTAGGATGAAGTACTTTTACAAGTACTTTTTAGTACTTTACAAAATTTTGTAAATTACTATTCTAGGAAATGGTCAGTGATAGTGAGGAAAAGTACTATTGAAAGTACTTTATAATACTTTACAAAATATTTTAAATGACTTTTCTAAGAAGAGATGAGTGACAGTGGAGAAAAGTACTTTTGAAAGTACGTTATACTACTTTACAAAACAGTTTAGATTAGTTTTCTATGAAGCTGTGAGTGATAGTGGGGAAAAGTAGTTTCGAAAGTACGTTATAGTACGTCACAAAATAGTTGAAATAACTTTTCTAGGAGGTTGTCAGTAATAGTCGGCAAAAGTACTTTTGAAAATGCTTTGTAGTAGTTTAGAAAGTAATTTAAATTTTTTTTTCTTAGAAGTCATGAGTGTTACGAGGGAATAGCAGTTTTGTAAGAATGATGAATTATAGTGGGAAATAGTCCTTTATTGTACATGAGACAATAACCTATGATACTATTTCCGGAAAGAATCCATGTAAATAATTTTTACCCGAGAAAAGTGTGTATTAAGTACTTTTATCAAGGGGGAAACGGCTGACTTTTGGACTTGAAGTTACTTTGAGCTACTTTAAGCTATTTCAAGTTACTTTCACCTGCTTGAAGTAGTTTACTTTGAAGTACTTTTCAACTTCATATTTATCTGAAGTTACTTCAAGTTACTTTAAGCTACTTGTTCCTACTTTGGGCTATCTGGGTGGTACTTTGAGCTACTTCAAGTAGTCTACTTTGACGTACTTTGACGTACTTTTGTACTTCAAGTCCGCCGTTTCCCCCTTGACTTTTATTCGTATTTTTTAAGCAGGAGAAAATACTTATAAATGAAACTTTTTATGTACTTCTCATGCTTTTTGAGTCAAAGGTACTGGTGAAAGTGGAAAAAGTATGAGAAGGCACTCTACAAAGTAGAAAAGTTATCAAAAAGTAGTGTGATATGTGAAAAATAGTAAGAACAGTTACTTTATTGTACATTTCTGTTATGAAAAGTGACCTTGGTTCACGGTTCTTTTACATGAGAAGAGGGACAATACGAAATTAATTTGCTCTGAATTTTTATGGTACTTTTAAGTACTTCTTGTGTAGTGATAGTTACAGAAAGTAGTTTTTCAGTTGGAAAATTAATTGTTTTATGAGTTTTCGATTAGAAGATTACTTTTAATTAATTTGAAGAGTTTAAAAATCGTTTGAAGTGATCTGGACTGGTAAATAGTAGCATATATTAATTCATTTTACATTATTATTGATTAAGTACTGATTAGTGTTTTTTATCCATTTTTTCGTCACGTGGGGTATATATATTTGTTGATATCGCATTTTCAATTAGGTAACAGAGTCTTAAAGTTTGCGACAATTGAACAATGTTTCTGGTTTTAGCATTCGTAACTTTCTGTGTATTCTTTTTTTCGTCAACATTATTCATGATGGTATATATTTTTGTTTTAAAAGAAAGTAGTTCGAAAATTCGTTATGTTTTGGATAGGCCTTTATGAAACGGTTTCACTCAATATCAAGATAACATTTGTTAAAAAATCTTTTTAAGCGGAAAATGATAAGAATAGTGAAAAAAATGCGAGAAGCTCCGTTTTCAGGAGCTATGTTCCAAGTTGGGAAAGCGCATGAAATTACATTGTCCATTTGGGTGCTCGAAATAAACACACTTCTCGACAACATTACCCATGTAAAAAAAAGTGAAAAGAAAATACTAAAAAGTAATTTTTTAAAAAATAAAGTAAAATAAATTAATACTCTCTACTATTTTCAACTTTCAAAATTACTTTGGTCAACTTTTTCAACTTTTTCAACTTTTTTAATTATTTATCATTAACTTCGCAATCACCAAATTATAAATAATTAATTTTTCAAGTAAAAAAGTACTTTTTCATACTATCGACAATACAAAAAGTACTAAAATGTACTATTCGAGGTACAAAATGACTTTCAACTAATACCTC